TCAATAAAACTGTTTTCATCTGTGGTATTTACTCTATAAGCAACTCATTGGCTTACATGCTTTTGTTATATAACTGTGAATTATGAAAAAATATGTGAAACTTCCAAGTTTGGTCGCAGCCAATCCTCCATCAGCAAAAGAACAAAGCTTGTCTCTATTAGTGACAGATTTAGGCAGAATGGTGAAACTTGAATCAAAACATACCATCAAAAGCCCATTCTGTTCTCATCTAAGTGAGCCTAAACTCACTGAAGTTTTCCTAGACGTGCCCATGACCTTGATATCCTAAGGAGCTTGGTAGCCATCTCCTTTCAAAATCAAAATTACAGGAATAAGGCATGGGTCCCAACCTGAGACATTTGACACTGATACTGGCAATGTCAAGATCAAAGCAAAACGGACAGTTGCGGTCACTTTCTTTAAGGCATCATTGGATTCAGATAAGAGTGAGCAGTGGAATGATCCACCTTCTAGGTGACAAGCTCATGGCTCTACAACTGCTCCAGCTGAGTGAGCTTTAAATCTACATTCCTCACCCAGCAAGGTGCACCCCAGCTTCTGCTAGGATGGTCTCCACCCTGATTCACATCCTGATGAGCTTCTGCTATGGAGCAGAAGAAAATTCAAGATTTATTAGTCTAGAAAGACAAAGGAAGAGAAAGCATCTCTTTAGCTTAATAGTTAAGGTACTCAGCTGGGAGGAAGAACTGCTTTTGATCCTTACACTGTTTCTATAGTTTTTCAGTTATTTATTTCATGCAGAGCAGACACAACAGCCCAGGTTCTCCCCACTCCCAGGCACATGATTTAGGTTGGAAAAAATTCATTTTTCAACATTTTTTTCAGATGAACAGCTACAACAGTAACTAAATTTGTAGGTACATTACCTTAAAGGAGTAAAAACCTTACAAAAAAATTGAAACTGAGAACATTTTTATAATTAGCTGCCAAGACTGGAGGGAGGGAACACGAAGAATAATCACTCAGAATTAAAGCCCTTCTTTTACTATTGTTCATTTGGCAATTTTGCAGTTCTAATTCTTTACTCCTTTTGCAAACGTGACAGTGATATCTTTAAATCCTATTTTACTGATTTATATACAGAAGCCAATGCAAAAGGCACTTCTATAGCAGCTTTCATCTGAAAATTCAGTGTACCCTACAAACAGCAGTTAAAATTCATAAGACTTAACTACCTCCTCCAATGTGTTAACAGCTCATTTTACAGCAGGTGAAACCAAGGCAGAGGGAAGTTGAGTCATGTAACCAAGGTCACATAATAAATTCAATAAGTAACTCCAAAATATCTCTTTGCATGTCTGAATTCCACAAAATATTTATACGGGCTGGTTAAGATGAAAAATGAAAAATGAACTTCACAGTTGATTTTTGAAGTAGTTGGCACTAGAATACTACAAATATGCTTTTCTTGATAAAATATTTCTTACAAAACCATATTCAATATTATTCTTCTGAATCTTTTCTGCTTTGAAAATCAGAATTTAAAAAACCTGTTTCTGCACTACACTAGCATCAGGTCACTCACACTGGGGCACAGCACACAGGTATTATAAAACCTATAATCTAGCCAGTATGCAAGAATGAGAGCTGCTCCAGGACTTGCCAAAAACCCTTTTGAACAACCAAACAATTTGGTTTTATCAATGCTTTTTTTTGCTACATATTTGCTACGATGATATTTTCCCCCACTCAATTCTGGTATATGTGCCCATGTGTAAACCTGTACACACATGCTGAAAGAAAAATGCTTTAAAGAGGTTAAAACATTAGATCAAGAGGCTGGCTTTCAGTGTTAGCTTTTGACTCCTAGGCATACATAAGAAATTCTCAGGCAAAATCCTGCAAACCATTGTTTGATCAGGACAAATACAAACAGCAGCTCTCCCACACTGTCACTGCCACACGAAACGCATGCAGCCATTTGTCATATGTTTGCCAGCTTTCTGCCTGACTTTGCTGATGAGGATTTACAGGTCAAAGCCTGGTTTGTTCTCTTCAAGCCCAGTTTCTAGACAACAGTTGAGACGTCCCTCGAAAGGGACTATGGACTAAATTAACTCTAATGTAACCATATTTATGGAATTATTTAACTTTCTGTATGATCCTCCATAGGAAATAAATAAAAAGTTGAAAATTTTATGTATAACATGGCATAAACAAGAGCAAGATCAGTCTCACAAATGTGTCACAGGCACCGTCCTTGTGAGGCCGATTTCTTCCTTGTCAGTTTTTACAGTGGGGGTGTTGTTTACATGCCACAGTAATTCAATTTATTCTTCTCTGATGACATCAATCTTGATGTGTTTGGAGATCCAAGTAACATATCTAATGCCTGACAAAATTCAAAGGCCCAGGACCATTGCTGGCAGTGGGAAAAGGTGCGAGTGAGAAAAAATGAAAAGAAACTAAAGAAGTAGCTTGAGCTTGTTGTGGCCTAAAATTTTCACTTAGCCATACAAAAGAGAAAAATGGCACAAAAAATCAGGCAATACAAATATCTGCAATTTTTGGTCATTATTTATATAACTGCATCACCACTGTTATTTTTCTAAAGAGAATTCATTATTTACCTTGTAATTGACCATCAAAGACTTGGTTATGTAAGACAAATTGCTGCAGCTCAACCAAGAAAAAATTAAAAGTACAAACTTACAATTTTACTCTAACCTTACATGAGATTAGCTTAGTTTTTAATTTTTCTATGCAAATTAAACCAATTTAAATATGAAATAGACAAACGTATCTAAATTAGGAGCTGGACATAATTAACGACACTGAATTTAAATTACATAAGCTAGCGTGACTTTCATATATAGACAAGGTCTAAGTCATAAGATATAGAAGCTCGCTCCCCTAACCAACTGACTTGCAGTACCTTTGATCTAAAAATTTATACAAATAAATACTTTTGTGAATATTCACAATGCCTTTTCTGCAACTGTTTTTCTCATTTATTAATAACAGATTAATGAGAAATTAGCAATACAGACTGCATTTCCCTCCTGTTTTCATTCAACTTGTATATGATAATCTTCCATGGCATTCCGTGAATATTAACAAATTAAAAGGACAAGCCACATTTAGAACTGAAAAAAGTTCTTCCAAGGAGAAATAGGTACAACTTGATTATTCAGATTACAGATCTCTAAATGAAACAACTCATTCCAAAATCAAAGCAGAACTTAGCAGGTTCTCTTTGCAACACATTAAAGGTCTATCTGCAACTGCAGCTGCACATCCTGTACTAAAATTAGAATAGGCCATTATCTACATTCTGTGATTTGTTTAAAACAGAAGATATCTGTATGCTATAAAAAAGCATTCACTCATCGATAAAAAAAGAGATGGAGACGGGTAAACATATAAAGACTAATTTTACAGCACAGACAAGCCATTCCAGTTCATCAAAGAGGAAACACCTCCTTAACGGCAAAATTAAGGATTTAAAAGCAAAGTCCAGTCACACAATCATTATACAAAAAACATCATAAGGTGATAAACAGCAACTGCTTTTGGCAGTATTCCTCCTTGTTGAGGGGGCCAAGACAAGGGGGATGCAGAACTGAAGCCTGATCCTGAAGATTGATGTGGTGCTCATGGGAATTTCACTGCCTTGCATAAAGATCCAGTTTGGAACTAGAGAGAAAGAGAAAATTCAGAGTGCAACAAAAGCCTCCTTGCAATACTGGGGAAAGAGAAAAAGAGGGAAAACAAACAAAAACAGTGCAGGGAATGAAAAACCTGCTCATCACGAAGGCAAGAGGAGCTGAGCTGGACAGACAGCTACACGTACAAGACTTCTGCAGAGAAGCCTTACATGGCGTAGCTTCAAGGAAAATGGATGGATCTAGCCAGGGCACTGCAAAAGTCAAATCCAGTTTGACACAATCATGCATTCAAAGCACACCGCTGCTGATTAGCACACCTCCGTGTTAGCTGATCTACATATTTGGCACTGTCTTAAAAGAAATCTATATTTTTGAAGGGGGTAAATAAACCCTCTGTACATAAAGGCAAGATTTTTAAAAAATGGAATTAATTTAAGCTCCCCTTTAACCCCATGATACTTAGTCTCAAATGGAAAGGAGTTGCTGGACTGCTGCAGAACGCCTTTAGCTTTCTGAGCATGGTTTGTACTTTTTAGCAAGGACAAATAAATGCCAGCAATAACAACAATCAGACTTGAGCAAAAGCACGCACTGGAAGACACTTGTGTAGGAAATCGCAGAGGGCAAAATCCTAATTCGAGAACTGCAATGCAGTATTTGTTGACAGAGCTACTGCTGTATTTCTTAGTGGCAGTAGCCCCAGAAAATAATGTCAGAACCTGTAATTTAGAATTTTCATTGCAAAATCACAGGGTAGATATCTAACCTTCAGCAACTCAAAGTATTCTCAGCACATGAAGTATTAGTGCACTTCCAACCATTTAGAAGAACAGATCCCATCCTTCATTTTGCCCTAAGGCATTATTCAACAGAAATGGGTCCACCTCATACACCACTGGACCTTGCAGCTGGCTTGGTTAAACACCCACACGACACTTTGCATTTAAAGGGATGTGCTCTCATACAACAGCACATCCCAAGATGCCCCAATATTTCAAAAAAAGTCTGTATACTTCTGAACACTTCCTAAACCTCCTATACTATATGAGATGAGAAGCTCTAAGATTCATAGGACCTGTTCCCATAATGTAAATATCAGCTCAACTTGAGTGATTTGCGGCAGAGACAGGTTTTTGTTAAAGGGCAACAGGGTTTTGTCTGCATATGTGAAAAGCCTAGCGTAACAGCATCCAAAGATATACCACAGAGAGAAAATACGGGGTGGGAGGTGGCATGGATTTCTCCTACTGATGTACCTGTAACTGTATCTGGTCCACAAATGTAACTGTGCATGATGAACTGTAAACTGTGTAACATTTTTCTTGAGTCCAACTCATTTTTTTGTCCCCTCCCCCTTTTAAATCCAAATAGCTGACAAAGTCAACGATGACTTCTACACCAAACGCCGACATCTTGCAGAGCTGGCTGCCAAGGGGAGCCTGCCACTCCATCCAGTGCGCCTAGATGAAGAGAGAGCTTATACCATTGACAGTGGCCTAACCAGACAGAATGGGCAGAAATCCAAAATGGCAAAGATCCACACACACCCATTAGGCTACAATTCCCACTACAAGACTTGGGATCCCAACGACCCGTCTCTTAGACGGCAAGCGTACACAAACAAGGGGAAGCATGGGATGGGAGACCCGAC